AGCAGGAATTATCCTGCAGGCGCCAACACTGTACGACGATCGCATTCCCATTGACGTGCAACTATCTAAGATTGCTTCCACCACTGCCAAGCCACACATCGTCACGAGTCTCTGAGAGACAATTGTTCAATTTCGTTACTTTCACGTACGACGCATGCTCACATACACACACATGCGTTTACACATCCACATACATATACATTGTCTTACGAAACAACGTAAGAACAAATATGAAATGCGTTCACGTTGACCAGGGACTCTTTTTGAAAATGGTACTTATAGGTTGTACAGAAAATCTGTTAATATTAATTGACACCGATAACCTCCGATCACCATTTTGTTAAATTTGAATGACCTAACATTATCGTTAAAATATTTCTAATCCCGTTATTAAAATACTTCGGTGTCAGTTCTTTTAGTTTCACAAAAGTTGCAATTCTTCTTCATGAAAATTTATTAATATACACAAAATGATATATATTAATTTGAATAGATGTTAATGTAAATGTATCCAAGTATTTTCCGATTTTGTTGCGATTTAACAGGTTCTGTTATTCTTGCGAACACGAATAAAATAGAGATTTTTCGTCCCTGGTGTTAACGACTGAAAGACTGAAGCCTCAGCGAGTCTTCGACTTTTCGCGTGAATTATTCGACTAAAGGCCAATTAACTGCTGTTTGCCTGCTCAAGGCGAGGATTCTCAAAATATACGCACACAAGCGGTCAGAACGTAGGAATAAAGCTATCGAAAATGGATAAAGGTGGATGAAAGTTAGGTGAAATGGAAATATAGTAAATGTAATTAGACATATTTCTTGACCTTGACTGCATACTTGAAAGTCATATTTCTACGTAACATAATGTTATGTTTTTCCTGTTTTCACATAAAAAAGATAAAATACTAGATGCAGAGGGTAAGAAATATGTTTTTGCATAAACATTGAAAGCAAACGATTTTTGACTCGTGGTTTTATTGTTAATATTACAAATGAACAAAAGATGTGTAGGAGATCAGGTTGTCAAAACATGTACACAATGTAGGATTAATATGGAGAGATCTAAAGAGGGTTCAATTTGATGCCAGTTGCATTCACAGTACAATTGTGATTCTTTAAGAGAATACTTTGAGAAACAAATTTCATCTGAAATCATTTTTAACAAGGATCGAAAATAATAGTCATAAAAATCTAAACATTCAATAAGAACGAATATTAATTTGTTTAAAATAAAAGAAAAAAGAAACACTAATGTTCCGCCAACTTTGTAGAACGCTTCAAAGAACGCAACTTTGCTACTGAATAGCATTAAAGTGTTCTTGTATCTCGTTATACATAGCAAAGAAAAAAAATTGTAGAAAAAAGTGGGACCGAAGTGTTGCATTTTACACACAACATAGTTTCAAATTGAAAACAATTTTAAAACAAAGGACGATCAGCGACGAACCGAAGTACTTATAAAAGATACGAAAGGATCACAATCATTGATGTACATGGCATGGAATTTGACAAAGCCTGTTGCAGACTCAGGAAGAAAGAAGAAGGGAAGGAAAAAAATATTGAACAATTCGCGAAATTTACATCGAGCCTGTAACAATGGGGCCATATTTTCACAAAATAAAAAAAAAAAAGGAGGAAGAATAGAGAAAGAAATCACGTATCTCTCTAGTTGTGAAGCTATAAATTCTAAATATCTGCATCCACGTAAGACGCGCAAAATGGCGTAAGAGGAGAAAACGCGTTGGGCCTAAGAAAGTTTCACCGACTCAACTTTTATTGCTCATAATACGTAATATGTTCGTAATAAGGTATACTTTCATAATTACGTTCGTTCCAGCACCACCGACGAACCGTGAAATGTTTATTAGACATATTAACATGGCGTGCATGAAAAAATATGAAACCAAGGTGAAACGCACGAAGAAAAAAAAAAAAAATAAAAACGTTGCAACTCTTTATTATTGCAATCGCGTTCCGAATAATTTACTGTCTTCCTAAGCTGCGAAATTAATAACTTACTTTTGACGGGCAGTAGTCATATGTTTCTGGTTTAACTGCCCAATAAAAATGCAAAAAATAAGCGAAAAAAAGAAAATGATAAAAAAAGGAAAATGAGTAGAGCCTGATTGGTAAATTACTAGTTAAATATATATGAATAGCCAGGATTTTATGACTTAAAAATGAAGCAACGATCCGCTGCTTAAAGATCCTGTTGACGAGATTTTTTTTGGCCGCTGATCGTAGAATTTTCCAGTCCTATTACTTTAAAAAACCTTGGCTCGTCGTGTATACCATGACGAACCACAAATGCCTGCCACCAGTAAACAAATACACTGAGAACAAAGAACATTTTGACAATTTTGTATGCACCACTCCAAAAAAACTAATCAATTACTCAACGATAAAAATTCATCTAGCAAATGTTATTGTTATTATTGTTTGTAACACACAAAAGTTTCTTTTGAGAACGACAAAGTTAAGAAAAATGTTTGAAGAAAATAAAAGAAAGAAAGAAATAAGAAAAAAAAAGAAATAAAAAAAATTGGCTTGACGTTGGCGTGGTCGTCGCACCGGTATGGATTTTACACATGAACCCTATGTTTCTTAATATTTTTTTATTTGTATTCTTTGTTGTTTGAGAGAAAGTGTGAAAGCCATCCGCGTGAATGTGTAAAGGATATTAATGAAATAAAAAACAAAAAGTAGAAAAAAGGAAAGAAAAAAGAAACTGATTATACGTTATTACGAGGAAATAAGCGCAGTGATAGTTACTCAACGTAAGTTACAAAACAATTTAACGATATACATATATAAATATTATAAATAACCATTACCACACACGATAAAAGTAATATGGCAAGATATTTTGTGAGTGTGTCTATAAGCTCGATTATAAAACCTACGTAAATTAAGCAGACAGTTTGTCTTGATTCGCGAAATCGAGGATGTTATTCCCATAGGGGAAGAGATTTTATAAATGGTGTGTTGAACTTTTAACGGTCGTCATTCACATGAAATGGCCTTATATTCAGCACTCGGACTCACAACGCATTCAGGGAGAGAAGTGTTGCTATATTAAATGTAGTTTTACTCGTCGGATTATGCGTAGCGCATAATCAATCAACCTATGATTAAATGTTTTATCATCGATTCAATTCTGTACTTTCACTTTATACAGGATTTTCATTTGTTAATAAGAATAATATATTAATTGTTCCAATTTCCATTTTCATAATTGTGACGAATTTAATTTTAAATTAAGTATATTCGAACGTAAGGAAATTATTTAGATAAGTTACTGTCCAAAAATACGTCAGATTTTTTTTAAATACTTCGTGCTTGAGATATTATAGTGAGGCATTGGGTTTATACGAGACATTTCAAACTAAGTGTCAAATGAAGCAGTTATTTAAAAAAGTAAAAATTTAATTTTTTACTTTTTTACGTTTTTTATATTTTTTAAGTAGGATCTCATAACTCTATTTTGGTATCTTAAAAGAATAAGCTCAATAAATCCTAAAATAATGACATCAAAACAATCTAAGGTCCTAAAAGAAATAACTATATTTAAGAAACTAAGGTGTAACTTTGAGAGTGTCTTGTAAATAAAGCATTAACACCTTGGTCCTTATAAATTGTACTTTTTTGTAACCTTGGACTGTACAAAGATCATTTGACATGAACTCAGTGACATATTGTTTTTTTCCCTTAGTGACCTTAGATTTTAAGTAAAAATGTCTATTATACTCAGTAGCTATTTCATATGACACTTAATTTGAATCATTTTACCCAATATCTATTTGCAGACAAAAATTATAATTCTTTAGTTATATTGGAAAAACATGTATTTACATATTTGCAAAACCATAGGAACTCTCTATGACATCTCCCTTCAAATATTGATATAAAAATAAGATCGCTTGAATAATTTTATCATTAATTGTTGAATCGAAAAAATGTATTATGCATTTGTATATCTGAACGGTTTATGTATAAGTTTCTAAACCGAATGTTTTAACAATTTTTAGAAATACGATATTATCAAGGCATACGACGCTGCCATCATACTGAATACGATTTTATTCAAACATTCGTTTATAATATTTTTCATTAAACTGTATAACATTGTGGAACAATTCAGCCTAAATACATGTACTATATTTTATTGACACAGTCCAAAATGATCGGAAATAAAACTTTATATATCTAGGAACAACGTGTCATTTAAATAGCTTTTCTTTGTAGCAAAATGCACACGAAAAACATGCTTCAATTCTTAAATATTTAAGTTTAGATACTTAATTTTTAACTCTGTAGTGTATTTTATACAATGAATTATTTTTATTCTTTTGCTTCTTACATATAGGAATTTTATGTTTGAATTTAAGAAGTTGTAGTTATTGAGTAGCTACAAAAGGATAAACGATAAATTTCATATTTTCCTGGACCAACATCTAATCCTATAGTCCTTGTATTTAAATCTATACATGTAACAATTATATTTTTTTATTTTCTAAACAGTGAAAATTTCGAAAAATGAATACTATTTAAAATAACATTTGACTGAAGTCGAAGTTTTGAAATTTCAGCTGTTTTATCAAAATTACAACTTTATTTTTCAAAGATGTATAGCTCTATGTCGCAATCTTTAGTTATTATTTACTGTTACAAATAAAATAATGAAATTTAACATTTCATATTTTGTTACAATATACCTCGCAATATTAGTTCCATAGAAGCGAAGGTAATATTATCTTAACAAATAAAAATGAATAATGAAAAATAATACTTCGTCATATAGATCTACATATCGTGCCTGTAGCTTAATGATCAAAGAACGAACGACAGAATTGTATGAGTAATATATAATACATTTATACCGCATTATTGAAAAACCTAAACTTATTTCTTAAACTAACATTCAACAAATAAATTTATATTAAGAGCTATTGTTTAGAAGTAATTATTAAATGCCTAAATTTAAATTAGTAATTTACAAGATACTCATACGAAATACTGTTTTTACATACCCTTGTATAAATACACACTTTGCAAACTCGACTGTAACATTACTGAAATATTTAATTAATCACACAAACCTTGAGAAAGGTTTGTATAAGATGCGAAAAAGATATTATTACTTGCGAAATGCACCATTAATTTGTAAGTATGTAAATGATAAAACTTTCTACATAAACAGGTGTATATCTATAAAATTCTTAAATAAATTTGATTTTTATACTAAATACAAAATTTTGTGCATATTTCGTTTCTTTTTTTTTCAATATCTTCCATCTTAAAACTTTTTATAAATATAGCTTGCAACTAGGAATCTTTGAATTATCTTAAGAAATATAAGCAAGT